CTGCGGAAACAGAGCAGAAGCTTCGTATGCAAAAAGCGAGAAGTAAACCAAGGGAAAGAGAGGGGAGAACAATAGGCAAACAGGAGTCAAATCTTAGGATTGCAGGACAACTCATGAACACTTAGTTTTGCAAGAGAGAGAAGCTTAAAGGTAAAAGCTTGACCCTACTTATCTTTTCAGGTATAGCACTCCCACAAAAGGGTCTTTCTGTCCCTTTCTCCAGGCAATTCTATCTAACAAAATGAAATTCAGTGGTGAAAAAAGTAAGGTTCTACATTTAGGCAAGAAAAACCAAATGCACAGGTATGGTATAGGCTGCAGGGGGTACCTTGCTCAATAGTAGTAACTGTGAGAGGGACCTCGGAGTCTTAGTGGACAATCACTTAAATATGAGCCAGCAGTGTGCTGCAGCTGCCAAAAAAGCCAAAACAGTGCTAGGCTGCATTAACAGAGGGAGAGAATCAAGATCTCGTGAAGTATTAATACCACTTTACAATGCCTTAGTAAGGCCACACTTGGAATACTGCATCCAGTTTTGGTCACCACGATCTAAAAAGATGTTGAGACTCTAGAATGAGTACAGAGAAGAGCAACAAAGAGGATCAGGGGACTGGAGGCTAAAGCATATAAGGAACGGCTGCTGGAATTGGGTATGTCTAGTTTAATGAAGAGAAGGACGAGGGGGGACATGATAGCAGAGTTCCAATATCTCAGGGGCTGCCACAAAGAAGAGGGAGTCAAGCTCTTCTCCAAAGTGCCTGAAGGCAGGACAAGAAGCTACGGATGGAAACTAATCAAGGAGAGAAGCAACCTAGAACTAAGGAGAAACTTCCTGACAGTTAGAACAATTAACCAGTGGAACAACCTGCCCCCAGAAGCGGTGAATGCGCCAACACTGGAAGTATTTAAGAAGAGACTGGACAGCCATTTATCTGAAATGGTATATAGCAGTGATGGCGAACCTTTTAGAGACCGAGTGCCCAAACTGCAACACAAAACCCACTTATGCATCGTCGGGTGCCAGGTGGGTGTGGCCCATTGGGTGGGTGTGACCCATTGGGTGGGCGTAGCTGCGGTGATAACTGGGTGGGACTAAAAAGTTCAATCAATTCCAACTTTGCAAGATCTTTTTTTCCCCATGAGAAGTTGAAATTGACTGATTGATTGAACCTTTTTTTTTTTTGCACACGGCTGCGAAGGCCTAAAGTAAAAAGGTTTTATAAAACCCAGCTGAAGGCCTAGGACTGGGGTGACGGCACGCGTGCCCACAGAGAGGGCTCTGAGTGCCGCCTCTGGCACCCATGCCATAGGTTCGCCACCACTGGTATATAGGGTTTCCTGCCTGAGTAGGGGGTTGGACTAGATGACCTCTAAGGTACCTTCCAACTTTATTATTTATTATTATTATTACTACTACTACTACTACTACTACTACTACTACTACTACTACTACTACTACTACTACTACTACTATAAAAAAGAAGTTGGTGTTATCTGGGGAATAGACTGACCATATCTAACTGGAAAACAATTTGGACTGGACCTTTTTGAGAAAATGGATCGACAATAGAGGTTTATGATTTTGGGTAATAAGACACAATTATTGGGAAGTTTCTCAAGCAATATCTTAAGGGAAAAAATTATTATTAAGAATCAAATGAGGATATTAGATTTTGGACAGATCAGAGACAATGACTGGTGATTCTTGGTAAATAAGAAGCCAGTGTAGACTTTATACAAGTTAAATACAATAATAAACAGTGAATGGAGAGCTTTGATGTTTAACTTTGCTGTTGGTGTTGGTTCAAAAAAAAATCTAGCTATTCTATATTGGTGCAATTCGTTTTTCTTGCCTAAGTGGAGGACCTCACTTTTCTCACCATTAAACTGCATTTTGTTGGCCCAATGCTCAAGTCTGTCAGGATCCTTCTGGATCTTGAGCCTATCTTTTAAAACGTTGGCTCTTTTCCCCAAAACTTGATGTTGTAGGCAAATTTGAGGAATTTCATCTAGATCATTTATGAAGATGTTGAAGAGTACTGGGCCCAGGACCGAACCTTGAGGTACCCCACTCCACTGAGGACTATCCACTGAGTGTGATTTGTCAGCCAGTTACGAATCCATCTGGTGCTGGTTCTGTCAATCCCACATTGTTCTATCTTACCAAGAAGTAAGTTGTGGTCTACTTTGTCAAATGTCATGCTGAAGTCCAAGTATACTATATCCACAGCATTTTGCTGATCCACAAATATAGTTTCTTTATTTAAAAAAGGGCAATAAATTTTGTCTGGCGTGATCTGTCTTTAACAAACCCATGCCGACTTCTGTTACAGCTACCCATCATTTTTGTTTCTGCAGAAACCTTATTGAAAACAGAAACATGCTTTAATTTAATCAGTTGAGAAGTTCTCAATCTTTTTTTTTTTAAGGAATAAAATCAGGGGGCTCAAGGCCCAGAACAAAGTACTCATAGCACCTTCAAATACCCCAAGTGTTACACTCAGAACCAGCTTTCAGGCTGATTAACCATGTTCTTACGTTAAAGGAATTCATCCCAGGTTTTCAAAACATTGGTGTCTATCTCTCTATCCACGGGGACCTCAACCGTCCCTGAATCTGAGAAGAATGCCAATCAAAACAGATCCAGTTTAGTCATTGTGATTGTTTAACTGTGCATAAAGAAATATTTTCATAGAATTTAGGACTGGATAGCAGATAGCAATGCAACAATAAATTAAGAGGCAGAAGCCTAACTGCAGCTCACATCATCAGAGGCAGTGATGGCGAACCTTTTAGAGTACCCAAAAACTGGCCCTGTCCCCGCCCTACCCCCTGCCCCACCCCACCTGCCCGCAGGACCACTCACCACCTCCAGGGCCCGCCGATTGCCCAGGCAGCCTAGCAGTGCTATGGCGGTCACACCCTCTGCCCGTGCCCTGCAGCATCAACTGTGCACGACAGGGCATGAGGGCAGAGTCTTGTCTATGCTGCCTGGCTGCCATGTCCTTGGCTGCGCTGCTCCATGTGGGCCACGCTCAGGAGCGACTCTCCTTCAGGGGGGCTGCTGGAGAGGAGGGGGTCACAGGGGGAGGCGAGGCTGGAGCAACGGCACGTGTGCCCACAGAGAGGGCTCCGAGTGCCACCTCTGGCACCCGTGCCATAGATTCGCCACCACTGATCAAAGGCATAGAATGGTTGGACAGATGTAAGATTGAAACTGAAATTTTAAATTTATAATGAGAGGGATGAGAAGCTGAGGAAGACAGATTAGTCATAGAGATGCAGAATGCAAAACAGACAGATTACAGGTAGTTTAACCATTGTAGTGTGTTAGAAATGTACTGTATTTGTGGAGACTTCATCACTGAGCAAGAATTGAGAAAAGGGCTTTACATTACAATTTTATTAGATGTATTCACTGCACATCACAATTTGAGGGCACTCTGAGTGTCTTGCCTTGCCCTAATGTTCATAGCAACACTGACACTACCTAATTTTTTTTCTTTGTCAAAAGTATTGATAGTTCTTACACAATGCATAGCGAAACTACGCCCACCCCATTGCCGGCAATGGCAAAAAAAGTCGTGATGTGTCACAACGCGTCACGTGACATTGCAAGTTTTACACACCTGTCCTAAAAGAATGCAAATGACCAGCTGTCTGCAAGGAATATAAATCCTTCCACTCTCCACCATCCAGGCAGAGCTGAAGCAGCTTCTTGGATGAGAAGTGAAATGTCTTCAAAGAAAAACGAAGTCCAGTTGCCTCATGAAAAAGCATCTTTGGGATATTCCTACAACTCTTCTCCATCAGGTTTATCTGCAAGGCAGATTAGCCTTTACATGTGAAATTCTATATTGTTGTTTTCACTGGGCCTTGGGCCTACTCCCCACATGCCTGTCACCCATCACACTTACCTTTTGAAGATCTCCTGGAGACAACCATCATTTTCAGTGTACCCACAATCCCCAAATGGAGTCTTAACAGTGTTAAATGTAACAAAATAGAGCAGTTTCTCCCTGTTGCACATGACCCTAACCCAGAAGCAAATGTGGCAAAATGGCAGCTGCTTCCACAGGTCTATGAATCCCAGGCACACTGAAAATAACAGCTACTTCCACAATACAGGCATGTGGCCCAGGGATGTGTGTCCTCCCCTCCTTCCCCAACATGAGGTTCAGAGATCTTCAAAAGTTAAGGAGGAGGAGGCTGTGAGGCCTGGTGGGGTGGGAGTCAGGCCTAAGGATTGCAGAGGCCCAGTGGGAGTGAAAAGTCCTGGGTGGACTCTGCGAGGGAAGCAAAGATCTGTGGGGACCCAAAGGTTGGTATAGGGGAGGCCTTTGGAAGCCAAGACTGGACCTACGCTATGCCCCCAACATGGAGGTAGCCAGTGTACCATTAACAACTCATATATTCATTTAAGGGCTGCATCAGGGAGATCAGAGGGTTGGGGGTAGTTAAGAAAAGCAGGCTTCCTTTAACGGCCGTTGCAACATGAAACTGTAATTGGAAGGCCAAAGGACTACTTGTATGACGGCTGGGGAATTCTGAGGCTCAACATCTGGAGGACAACAAGGTAGAATTCCATAATCAATATACAAAAGACGCCGCCCAAAAGCTTTTTTGAGGAATTAAGTAACTTCTGAAAAAGGAAATATCCAGAAACTTCTGCTGCTAAGGAAAAACAGGTAGTTAGCTTTTATCAAACTAATAGTTTCCATTTTTTCCTGTCCACCTACAAGCTAAAAAAAGAATCGGGTCAGACTTCAAGGAGTCAATTTCTCATCTACACTCACAATGGGAGATCAGAAATGAAATTCAAGGCTTCTCTAAACTCATCAATGTTTGCCTCATGTGGATTTCCTTGTGTGCGATAAGAGATGATTTGTGCCTGAAGAATCGTCCACAGACTGGACATATGAAAGGTTTTTCCCCTGTGTGTAGAACCACATGATTTATAAGGTTAGAACTGGTGCTAAAATCTTTCCCACAATCTGGACACTCATACGGTTTCTCTCCAGTGTGTGTCCTCTGGTGTTTCACCAGGTCAGAGGGGTAACTGAATTTTTTCCCACAATTCGGACACTCGTACGGTTTCTCTCCTGTGTGGGTCCTCTGATGCATCACCAAGTTGCCATTTTCAGTAAAGCATTTGCCACATTGGGAGCACTTGTAGGGCTTCTCTCCTGTGTGGGTTCTCTGGTGTTTCACGAGCACAGAAGGGTAACTGAAACTTTTCCCACATTCTGGACACTCATATGGCTTTTCTCCTGTGTGAGTCCTCTGGTGTTTTCCCAGGTTAGAATGGGAACCGAAGCTTTTCCCACACTCTAGACACTCATATGGTTTCTCTCCCGTGTGAACCCTCAGGTGTTTCATCAGGTTAGAACGGTAACTGAAACTTTTCCCACACTCTGGACATTCATAGAGTTTCTCTCCTGTATGTGTCACCTGGTGTATCACCAGGTTGGAATTCTGACTGAAACATTTCCCACAATCAGGACATTCGAAGGGTTTCTCTCCTGTATGAGTCCTCTGATGTATCACCAGGTGGGAATTCTGACTGAAACTTTTCCCACAATCAGGACATTCAAAGGGTTTCTCTCCTGTGTGAATTCTTTGATGATTCACCAGGTCAGAGTTCTGACTGAAACTTTTCCCACAGTCAGGACATTCAAATGGTTTCTCTCCTGTGTGAGTCCTCTGGTGTCTGACCAGGTTGGAAGTGTAACTGAAACTTTTCCCACAATCAGGACATTCAAAGGGTTTCTCCCCCGTGTGAGTCCTCTGGTGTCTTACCAGGTTGGAATTGTGACTGAAACTTTTCCCACAATCAGGACATTCAAAGGGTTTCTCTCCTGTGTGAGTCCTCTGGTGTATCACCAAGTGAGAATTTGTAATGAAACTTTTCCCACAATCAGGACACTCATATGATTTTTCTCCTGTGTGAGTCCTCTGGTGTATCGCCAGGTTGCAATTCTGACTGAAAGTTTTCCCACAGTCAGGACATTCAAAGGGTTTCTCTCCGGTGTGAGTCCTCTGGTGTATCACCAGGTGGGGGTTTGCCATAAAACTTTTCCCACAGTCAGGACAGTCATACGGCTTCTCCCTGGTGTGAGTCCTCTGATGTATCACCAAGTTGCTGTTTTCACTAAAGCATTTACCACATTGGAAGCACTTGTAGGACATCTCTCCTGCGTGTGTGGTTCCATGAGCCAAAAAGGAGCTGTTCTGACCAAAGCTTTTACCACATTCAGATAATTTGTACGGCTGTTCTGCAGAGTGGAATCTCCCCTGCATAATTAGCTGTGATTTGAAGTCTGCTTTCCCACAATAGGCACGTCTATGGATCTTTTCCACCACTGATAGGCTTGAGGTCAAAATATATGTTTAGTGGTACATTGATTTAAACCCCTTTCTTCCTCCCAGGGTGAGGCCTGTATCGCTGTCTGCCCTATGTGACTATCCAATTGACCTTTTCATCCCCACTGACTTCCAGATACTTCCCTCTTGTTCCGAATGGAAAAATGCTCTCCTTTGACCTTTTCATTTAATGTATCCTTGTGCTCTACATAATCTTTTTCCAGCTGAAAATATCTTCTTGGTCTTCTCTTTTCTTTCTCTCACCTGGTATGGAAGGAGATGAATTGTGTGGTTTTTCTGAAGGAAATGGAAGATATTTTGATTTCTGCTTCAATTTGCTTTGCTTTTTAATGTTGCTTGTTACTCTCAGTTGTCCAGTGTGCTCTTATTCGCATCTGTAAGATTCAAATGGAAGTGTTACATTTATTTTTTACAAAATGGTTGCAGAACATGTGAAAAAAAGTATACATTACAATGAAAAAGCAAACATGCCACAAGGCTAGAATAATCTCTTACATTAATTATGACTCGTTTGACTACCAAAATATGCATTCAATCATGAAATTCACTTGTTGACTTGGGTTAGTCACAAATTCGTAGCCTTGCAAAGGGTTGTCATCAAATACAGTTATGTGAAAAAGAAAGTACACCCTCTTTGAGTTCTATTTTACATATCAGGATATATTTAAAAAATCATCTGGTCCTTTGCAGTTCTCAAAAATGGGCAAATATGACCTCAGATGAACAACAGTGCATGACGTAATACACCAGGGGTGTCAAACTCAATTTCATTGAGGGCCGCATCAGCATTGCAGTTGCCCTCAGGGGGCCGGGTGGGTGTGGCCAGGGTGGGTGCAGCCTACTGGGTGGATGTGGATGGAGTGGGTGTGGCCTAGTGGGTGGGCATGGCCAGCTCTACATCGTTCGCGTCAATGGTGCCTGTGGGGGCCTGGGCAGGAGTGGGACAGATCTGAGGGTCTCTGACAGAAGGGGGTGGGACCAGGGCAAGTGCCAAGGCATGGTCCACTGGAGGAGCCTCACTGTTCCTCTCAGGCCATGTGGGGAGGGGGTGCTGGATGGTGGTGCGGGCTGCCCGGAGCCCTGGGCAGCAGAGGTCAAACGCCCAGCCTGGCCCTCGAGCACCCATGGCACCAAGCCCAGCCCCACTTCCCCAAGGGGGCGCCCAGCTGCACTTACCTCCTCCTCAAGGCTGCCGTTGCTGTGCTTGCTCTCCTTAGCCAGGTTGTTCATGATGGGTACCAGGGCAAAGTCAGAGGGAGACTGAATGCGTTTCAGCATAGATGGCCACCACAAAATTGTACATTGGCTCCCGTCCATCAGGCCTGGGCCGGGGCCAAGGCAGTGGGGGCCATTCCCTCACTGTTTCCAGGATGGCTTCGCGGGCCACATGAAACCACTTCGCGGGCCGCATCCGGCCCCCGGGCCTTGTGTTTGACATGTCTGTATTACACCCATGTCATCATTTTTCTTTTCCACAAAGAAAGCTGAAGTGAAGAAGCGAAAAGTGAAAAACCTGAAACACTCTTATTGCTTCCATCGGTATGAAGAGGCTAAGTAGCAGCCAAGTGCTGCTAGTCAAGTGCCCTTGATCAATTGAAAGCTGAAGTTGTATGAGTTTGCTTGTCTCCAGCATTGAGGTGTGTGTTAAATGCCAAAGAGAAGAGACATCAGCGGGGATCTTAGAGAAGCAATTGTTGCTGCCCATCTACGTGGGTTCTCCAACACTGGAGGCTTTTAAGAAGAAAGTGCACCACCATTTGTCTGAAATGGTATAGGGCAGGGGTAGGCAACCTTGGCTCTTTTCTGACTCGTGGACTTCAACTCCCAGAACTCCTGAGCCAACATGGCTCAGCTTGGAAACCTCTCCCTTTCCCCTCAGCGCGGCTGGCTCAGGAATTCTAGAAGTTGAAGTCCACGAGTCATAAAAGAGCCAAGGTTGCCTACCCCTGGTGTAGGGTTTCCTGCCTGAGCAGGGGGTTGGATTAGAAGACCTCCAAGTCCCTTTCAATTCTATTATTCTGTTATTTGGGAAGGGTTATAAGGCTTATTATTATAAGGTTATAAGGTTATAATTATTTCCAAATAATTTAAAGTCCATCATTCTACAATGTGGAAGATTATTCATAAGTAGAAAACATTCAAGACAGTTGCCAATCTTCCCAGGAGTGGAAGTCCAACAAAATTCACCCCAAGGTCAAGCCATGCAATGGTCATAGAAATTACAAAAAAATCAAAGTTATATCTCAGACTCCACAAGCCATAGTTAGCATGTTATCATTCACGACAGTACAATTAGAAAAAGACTGAACAAGCATGGTTCATTTGGAAGGATAGCCTCTCTAGAAAGGGCATTAGCAGCATGGCTGAGGTTTACAAAGTTGCATCGCAAGCAATCACAAGACTTCTGGAACACTGTCCTCTGGACGGTGAGACCGAAGTGGAGATGTCTTGGCCATAATGCACAGTGCCACGTTTGATGAAAACCAAACACAGCATATCAGCACAAACATCTCATAGCAGTCATAGTCAAACTCAATTTCATTGAGGGCCGCATCAGCATTGTGGTTGCTCTTGGGGGGCTGGGTGGGTGTGGCCAGGGTGGGTGCGGCCTACTGGGTGGGCGTGGATGGAGTGGGTGTGGCCTACTGGGTGGCCATGGCCAGTTCTACATCGTTCGCCTCAAGGATGCCTGTGGGGCCTGGGCAGGAGTGGGACAGATCTGAGGGTCTCTGGCAGAAGGTGGGACCGGGACAAGCGCCAAGGCATGGTCCATTTCTTCATTCCTCACAAAGGGTGACACCTCCCCACCCAGGGGGCGGGGCCGACACAACAGGGGCTGGTTCCTCGCTGTTTCTGGACAGCCTTGTGGAGCTAAGACTGAATGCATTTCAGCATAGATGGCCACCACAAAATTGTACATTGGCTCCCGGCCGGCCTGGGCCAGGGCCAAGGCAGAGGGGGCCGTTCCCTCACTGTTTCCAAGATGGCTTCGCGGGCCACATGAAACCTCTTTGCGGGCCGCATCCAGCCCCCGGGCCTTGTGTTTGACATGGCTGTCTCATAGCAATTGTCAAGCACGCTGATGAAGGGGTGATGATTTGGGCTTGTTTTGCAGCCAGAGGACCTGGCCACTTTGTAGTCATTGCGTTGACCATAAGCTCCTCTCTGTACTAGAGTATTCTAGAGTCAAATGTGAGGCCATCTGTCCAACCGCAGTTTTTCACACATGGGATCCATTTTGGTTTTCTTTTTGTAAAATACATGATTACATGATGTAATATGTTCATGTGTTATTGTTCACCTGAGGTTGTATTTACCTACTTTTAAGATTTCTAAGGACCAGATAACATTTTTTTTACTATGTCCCGACACGTAAAACCACAAAACTCAAAGAGGGTGTATTTTTTTCCCCACATGGCTGCATATCAGGAAGTGCTGGAGACAGATTATACATTTGCAGATATATGCATACAGAAATACAAATTCAAATGTATATATGGAGAAAATCCATGTTTTCAGCCTGAAAAAAAGTTCCAAAATGGTTACAGTCAAACCTTCTGATATAATTTTAGAGATGTGGGTCCCTTAACTGATGAAATGATGCCTAAAGCTCTGCAAGATTTGAAGCACCCGTTTTGCCCATAGAAGTCCTCAGCTCCAAATAAGGGCAGAAAATACTGCCCACAAGTACTTTGGTGACATCCCAATTCAAGTAATCCTCACTTACCTACCACAATTGTAACTGATATCTGCACCTCTAAGCAGCCCAATGATTAAGCACAATGTCATACTGACAGTGCCAACTTATCTGTTCTTCTACAGTTGTTAAAACAAATCACTGTGAGTTTTTAAAGGCAATTTCACATGACCGTGACTTGCAACTTCCTGCTTGCATCCCCAGTGATTTTGCTGTTCGGAAGCTAGTGAGAAGGTCACAAATGGGGATCATGGTGTCGTACACTGCAACCTTCATAAATGTGCAGCAGTTGGCAACACCTGAATTGGGGCAACTCCTTTCCCTGCACCTTCATAACCACAGGAATCGCTGAAGTAAGACTGATTGTGCTATGGTAACAACAAATTTGTGGACCAGGTGTAGGTCTGCTTTCACAATGCCATTGCAACTTTGAAGTCTCAGGGAACAAGTGGTAAGCGAGGACAGCTGAACAACCCAAAAAGTTCTCAATAGCTATTTTTTTTTTAACAAAGTGCTGGGTTAAGCACAGTTGAAGCTGGTTAATACATAGATGGGGCACCAATAGGAAACACCGTGCTTGTTCGTTAGACATGGAAGTAAAAAACCAAAAGCTCAGAAGAGAGCAGATGCAGACCAGTCCGATATTGTTGCCCAAAAAACTGCAGAATATCAGAGTTGGAAGGGACCTTGGAGGTCTTCTTGTCCAACCCCTGTTCAGGCAGGATATTCTATACCAGGGGTAGGCAACCTTGGCTCTTTTGTGACTCGTGGACTTCAACTCCCAGAATTCCTGAGCCAGCCATGCTGAGGGGAAAGGAAGAAGTTCCCAAGCTGAGCCATGCTGGCTCAGGAATTCTGGGAGTTGAAGTCCACGAGTCACAAAAGAGCCAAGGTTGCCTACCCCTGCCCTATACCATTCCGTACAAATGGCTGTCTAATCTCATCTTAAAAACCTCCAGTGATGCAGCACCCACAACTTCTGGAGGGAAGCCATTCCCAAAGAATCAACCTTCACTTGAAGGAGACTTTTTAAATCTCCCCACCAGCAGAAAATCGCAGCCCCCAGTTTAACAGCCTGCAGCACCAGTGGACTTAAAAGTTGGGGAGGGAAGGGATT